CGGACGGACGACAATACAAAAAACTATAAAGGATCTGAGGATCCTTAATACTTAATAATGTCATTTCCGTTATAACGTGTACGAGTTCCTTGAAAGTGTTCAGCAAGTAATTTGCCCTGTGCACCGCAAAGAAACTTTTTTATCAATTGAATGACTTTGAAAAGAATTTACGCTACATTGAGCTGTTGTATGGTAATTGAAAGGTGATTGGCCCATTATTTTCGAATATAAAAAGATATTACCGAAGAAACTTTTTGTCGAAACTTCCTATGAAACGGAGATGTTCAGCTCATTAATTGCGTCTATTACCAGCAGACGGATTTTTTAAATGATAATAATAATAATAGCTATTCAAGTAAGTTAAATCATATCTTCTTGCTGTAGAATATTACGAGGGTTTGAAATTTGTTTTCTTATGACAGTTGTATTATTAACTGAACATTAGAAATTAATATTCTCCCATTCATGCTACGAAACACTCATCGCGACCTTACCATCCTTCATGAAATTACCATGCGTATGTTTTGAGTGTGTTTTCTCAACTCATCTTATTAAATTAAATTACCTCTGGCAATCCGATATTACACCAACGCTATTAAATTAACGACTTGCAAGAGAAATTTACCTAAACAGCCTAGAGTAGTTAGTAAAATTGATAATGGGGATGAGGCGCGGTTAGTTCCGAAGCCTGTTACAATTATAGTATAAAGGATCAATCAAAATTCATGAAATTAGGCGAAATTATAAATGAACCGGCATTTCGATTAATAGGCACGAAGTTTTGCGAAGTTTTTAATGTTCTATTTCTGACAGGCACGCGAACGAATAAACTGTTCCATAAATAAAACGTGTCAAACAGGACTGCTGCCGAAAGGGTAATTGTTTTATAAAAAATCGAATGTTTTATAAACCCAATGACGGCGTTAAATTAAAAACGCACAGATTAACTAAATAGGGCAACTAGATAAAAAGACGAATAATTACAAAGTTTAGCCCAGAGTAGTTTTATTAGATGAACATAACTCTGCAAGGTATTAAATTCGCTAGCTGAAGCACTGAATACGTTTACTTATTCAATGCTGAAAGTCAGTTAGGATGAGGGGTAGCGCGTAACTATTTGGTAAACCTTAGCTCGGTGCTGGGTCTCGCGCATTTGGCCGCCACCTCGTTTAACCGTATCAACAGTTAAATCGGTTCCCTCTCTGCGAACTACGGCCTTTTCTTGTTTGTAATTATCAGAATATTTCTGTAAAAGCAAAAACGTAGGTGTACATATTCAGGGATTTAGCGTGCCCAGGGGGTAATAGCAGACCCTAACAGCAGACCCCTTTGGGAATTGTTGTTAGGGTCTCGAGAAACTTCATGCGAAATTTGGTGTTTGTATCCGGCTGGTAAATAGCTTTTCACTAAGAGACATCACTATTGTTAGTCACGTTATTATGTAAAAATGAGTACTCATAACATACCTTCGAAATTTTTTCCATACCGAAAAGCACAGCCAAACACTCGCGTTCTGTTGCAGAGTAATTAAGCTCGGCTTTGTTTAGTATAGGTACGTGAAGCATATGCAATTACATGCCCATCATGATCTATAGGTCCTATACCATCCCAACATACCCAAGAATTCAGCTTTTTTTTAAATTATTTGTTAACTTATCATCCTTGAGTTTAAATAGACTTCCTAAATATCGATATGTTTCACAAATGTGCTAGAAGCAATAATAATATCGTCTAAATAACAAAAATATTTTCTCTAAGAAGTGGAATTAGCCAATTTGTTTATGGGGCCGGGCCGGTGCGTTCGCTATACCGAATGACATGACGCGCGTATTCGAACAATCCTCGCCGAGGTTCAGTAAGTGCGTTTTTTTCATAAGAATCAGGATAAAAAGGTACTCGATAGAACACCTGCTTTAAATCTATAGAAGATTGTCCTTTTTCCCGCCCTCATACAGGCGAAAAAATGTAATTTTCCTTGTCTAATTATAAGATATCTTATAATAATAAGATAATACTATAATCTTATAATGAGCGAACAAAAGAAACACTGTCCAAGTCATTGGCAGTACCTATCATTAGTCTGTAAAAATATTAGCTTCATTCATACAACCGTAACCTACTTATATCCGTAGAAAGATCGTGAAAACCCGACATGTGAAAATTTTGATCACTCTCGTTAAGTGTATTTCGAGCTAGCTCCCCTACTAATCTATCTGTGTGTGTGTCTGTCCGTCCGTGTGCACGATAACTTTGTTTAGAAACACCAGATCGCTTTGAAAATTAGTACACATGTTCTTAAGAATATAGGAAAGATCGCTATCGTTTTTCAGCTGCGAAGACCAACGGGCCAAAAAATTACAGCCCAAAAACTGCCCCAGCCTTCAAAAAAAGGGTTTCTTTTATCATTTCTGTTACATAGAACAATTTAATGTACTCCTTAACCCTCAAGCAACAAAAAAATCAACTTTTTATTTGCGCAATCCAATTTTTTTGTTTCTTAAGATACTAAAATGAAATTTTGTATAGACACCTTGAGTAAAAGTAAAGTAAAGCGGATTCAAAATTTGTTTTACAGACAGAATCAACCCCTTAAGTCTATAACTGGCCGTCAATTATTATCTGGTAATAATTTTACTGTGAACTCAAACGGAAAAACTAGAAAATGGAACAAGTGTAGTAAAGACTTTGTAATGACAACTCCGGCCGTAGAAAAGTTCAGTACTATACGATTTTTGTAAGCTTAGTTCTGCAATACAACGATAAATTATGATTTATTTTTAAACAGAAAAGAGTAAAATAGTGGTGAAATAAGTTGAATCTTTTACCAATAGTAAATTTTAGTTACGTAGGTAGTGGTTTACAATAAATGGAGGTTAATTGCCTGTCACCATCATCCTTCTTTACGAGGGTGGAAAATTTTTATCATCTATTTAAGCCCTTATTCTTTCAAGCTGATATGATCTTTAGGTATTTATTGCGTAAATAAGCGTTAACATAAATCCTTTTGCACTCGCCACTATCTGGGTTTTGTATCTCGCCATCTTGGACATACGTTGAATGCGTACTAGTCACGTGCATTTCTCAAGCGCAATTTTCTATTATTAAACTCTCACAACTGACACATAAACATGAATGGCGTGGATAAAGTATGAGTTAAAAGATAATAATTAACAGTAAGTGTTAACTTTCAATCGAGATATAAACAAATCTGTAGAAACTACAAGTAGGTACTTTTTTATCATTCACGTGACGTGCATCCTAAAAGAGCATAATCGGCGCTCAAAAAAAACAAATACCATTTGATATAATAGTGGAAGCCATTGATTCACAACTAAATGAAGAATCTAGCCTAAGTAAATGATCATGTTTATTACTAGCCGAAGCGATCCGGTCTATCGACCGCATTACGATTATTTTGGTGCAGTGTAAATAAATGAAACTACGGTTTGTATTGGCTATTTACAGCCTCCTCAATTTGCACTGTTCGAATTGCACCCGCTTACTTTTAGTTCATCGTCATAAAGCAAAGAATTGGTACAGGAGCAACTGTTCCACTCTGACTCATTGGATCTTAGTTATACTGTGTCCATGTCCAAAATAAGGATGTCTCTCATAGGGATCTCCGAAACCGTAGAAGATACGGCGATGGTCAAATTAGAGAAAAGATGTGCAATTAAAGAATGTTTTACAGAAAACCAAAAAATTCCGGTTACTTCCGAAGATATGCCATTAAAACCGAAATTTGCCGATTTCGTTTTTTTTTTTGAATTTATTAGGAGGTACCTCAACTGCCAGGGTTATTGGCACCCATTTACATTTAGTTAATATACCTACATTTGATTACTATAGTACAGTGAAAATTACAGAATACAGTTATGTTAGGTAAGTACACTATATTTGTTTGGTCATTTGTATTCCGTCCAGAAAAGCAATTACTGTTCTTCCGTTAGTCTTCTCCGGATTCAGTGCCACTTCCAGTGCGTCCGGCAGGTGCGTTGCTGTTCTTGTGTTCTGGTAGTGAGGGAATTCGATCAGTAGGTGCTTTATCGTCAAGTCCACGTTGCATTTTTCGCATTGGGGTGTTTCTGCCTTTTGTAGTAGGTGTTTGTGGGTGAGCTTGGTGTGGCCCAGGCGTAGTCGTGTTAGGGGCACCTCATATTTCCTGTTGGATAGCCTTTGTTTCCATCTCCTCACATTCGGTTTAATTGGTGTGAGTTTTTGTGTTGTCTCTGTCCATTTACTCTGCCATTGGTTTATAAGGTTTGTTTTTTGTCTGATCAGATACAAAAAAAGAACAAAAATACTTTCTCATTGCCACTTTTTGAGCTATACAAGACGCTGTTGAGAGATTTTCAATACAACGTTTCGTTTCGGAAAATTTTTACATATGGCCCGTATTCCGTAAAAAAGTACATTATGCATTTAGTAGCATTTATTATTACGAATACAACGAAGTACGGCACACAACAAAACAACAGTTGGAAACTGTTTCAACAGAATGGTGCACCAGCGCACAACGCCCTAATCGTGCGAGAATACCTTTGGGAGAAATTTTCCATTTTCCAGGAAATTTGTCGGATGATACAATAATACGAAGTGATATGCTCAATTCACTGGCAACTATAAATAGCGTGCGCTGGTAATTATTCAACTTTCAGTAATTAATGTGAATATCTAGGACGTAGACATTAAGCTTAATACTCTAATTAGTGAAGATTGTCCTATATGTAGCTTACGAAAGCAAGGTGTGTATAATTACATTACAGAATTAATTAAAGACCAGATAGGCGCACCTTAATATAAGACGATAAGGTATTTGTAGTATTCCTATTTTATATGGTGGAATAAATTGGCGTAGTAGCAAGTAATAGGTACCTTATGATTATTACGTTTGAACGTTGCAGTTTATTGCAAGGAAAAATTACTTATACAGCCACAAAAATAATATAAAAGCACGCCAGTTAGAATATTTCAATAAAACGTATCCCTTTTTGTTTCAGAATTGTTGAAGATGCTGCGATGGAGGTATTGAAGCGCGACTCACTTCTACCGTATGCTCCAACTTTACGAGAGTTGTAAGTTTCATATCTCAATCCTTAAAAAACCTTCGGTTATATATCTCCCTACATTTAAAGCTAAGATTAAAAAACGAGTTTGTAGGGCTGTAATTACCATACTTTCATTGCAATTTTTAGAGCGGAGTTTTACGTTGATTTACAATAATGCTGCAAGCAAAGGATACCTATCTTTACTGCAAGATTACAATTTCGAACAGCATAAATGAGTAAACTACTTATACAATAGAGGCTTTTCAATATAAATAAGGAATAAATACGCTGTGTTTATAAATTGTTTAACCAATGAAAATGTAATTTGGGCCCAAATTAGTCTTTAATTCATAGTTTTTGATGCAACTAATAAAATTTCAATCGGAAAAGTGGGAGTGCTAACTTGTTGTCTAGTTACCACCCCCGCCTTAGAATCGGTTTTCCGGCGGAACCAAAGCGGGTAGAAATTTTAATTTTGTGAAATTAGCCTTTAATTTATACGTGCCATTCCTTTGTATTAATTTTGAGAATTGTCCTTTTTTAATAAAAAAATTGTTTAAATAATGTATAAATTGTTTAAACAATGAAAATCTAATTTGGATAAAGTGGGGTTGCTAACTTGATTTCAACCTCACCTTAGAATCGAGTCTCCGGTGGAACTAAGCGGGTACAAATTCTAATTTTGTGGGTAGGTAGTCCTAAATTATATAGGCATATTTTTACTTGATTTGGGGAAAGTGGGGGTGCGAACTTTATCGACCTATTGACTTGCTATCTTTTTCACCGCCACATCGAAATTCTCTATTTATCGCTCATTTTGTTTGGGTGAAAGGGTAAATGCTTGCTTTCGGTGACCAAGAAACAAAAATTGATGAATTTCGATGTTGACCAGCAGTTTTGGATTTTGGAATTTTAATGCGCAGGAGAACACGGAAAATATGTTCACTAAGGGAACGCGTCGTCCTATGCGATAGAAGGGGAGAATTGGATAATAATGCGAACAGTGTTTCTTGCATTAATAAGCCTATCCATCAATTTGTTTATTTATATTCTTCTTTGTTCGTTCCATTCTCATAAAGCGTAAGCCAAGGGTGTAAGGTTAAATCAAAGTGAAGCTTTAGTGTATCGAAATTCATGTACGGATAACATACTCCCCATAAATTTTTGTGAATTATGAGACGTTGTCAGTTTTTGAGTAATGCGTCGATAAGGTAGTAGGTAACGCATTGTGACGGTAAATTTAAAATACGGGGTACATCGTAAACTAACCGATGCGTTATTATATTGACAGTAAACTTCATTGAAGAGTTCGCTCTTGCATTATTAAAGTTTAACAAATCCTATTACCTCTGTTTTGTAATAAAATTCAGGTTCTACAATTTTGCACATTTCATTAAGTGTTGTTTTCGATTTTCAGGACGCTCATAAATCTGGAAAACTTTTACTACTTCGAAACGGACGTTTTTCTACAGATTAAGCAACTGCAGTCAATGTAAGTACAATTCCAAATCTAATTACAATTCATTGCACGAAACGATCGGGAATATTTGAATATTCCCATGTTTGAGTTCCTGCGAAAAAGGTGCACGGAAAATTAACGAATGGCGATCTGCACTTAACATTAAAAGCCGCTAAAGCTTACAATTACATTGCGCGGCACAACTTTTCCCTGACTTAATGTGAACGTTTTCCAAAATTTATTGCTCTGATGTTTACGTGCTTTAATCCGTCCATTTCCAAGTTTTTCATTTTCCACTCTGCAAGTAGAGCGATATCAAATTTAGTAGCCGATTTCCCTTCTTTTAGTTTATTACATTGTCTGTTGAAGTTTTCAATTTTGAAATATATGACTGCTAAGTTTGTGACACCTCTCTTTTAAATCTGGTAGGAATAAAAATGGCGCTGTTCAGGAAAGTTTACGTTGGCAATTTTCCGTCCATCATGCATAAGAAAAAGGTTGCTCTTTATTATATATTTACAAAGGAATGCGAACCGTATTTTTCCAACTTAGCAAACTGGTGAAATATGGTTAAAAATTGACAAACCTCAATCGGAATAAGAAGTTAGTGTGCTTGGAGTAGAAATTTTGTTATCATATTTTGTTTACCGATGAGCACTTTTTTCTTCAAAGGGGGAAACTTGATTATTAAAGAAGCTGAAAAAAAGTTTAAGAAAAGTTTTTTACATGTTTACGTCGAAATAATTTTCATCTTCTTGACATTTTAAAGTAATAGCACGAACTTCTCGATTTTTCAATAAAAGCGGTATTTCATTTCGCTCCCATTATATTGAGTAGATTTTTTTCTATTTTTAGCAATCCTTATTTTTTTGATTACCTACTGTCAAAATAACATTTCCATCATTTTTTTATTTCAATATTTTAATTGAGTGTCTATAGAAAAGTCAATTACGTACTTCATGGTGACTTTATGCAATCATTATCATTAGATCATTAGGGCATAGCCAATAGAAACAAAGGTTGGTTTCGTTGGTTAGCGACGCAGAATAAACGTTTATTTCTATTGGCCATTTCTTAATCATTGTGTGAACTAATTATAATGGTCCTATAAACCCACCATAAAAATGGAACTGTATTTTTGTTAACAAGAGATTAATCAAGTGTCTATTATTCCAATCAAATTAAATATTCTTAAACTAGCACCTAATGTCGCAAATGTTTGTACTTCATTACTTATTGCATATTCCCAATTTAATACCCAAGATTACCAAATGTTGTGTACTCACTAATCTTGAAATTAATGTACATTCAAAATATTCAAGTAAAAACAAAGCGTGGCGTGGTGCACAGTCCCTCCACAAACCATATTTTCGCTAATCGCTCGAGTCTCTCCATAGGGTTCCAAAGTTAAACACTGTGGAACCAGGTGACCTTGTACTAAAAAAAGGAGTCGAAGACCATTTGAAGCGGTATCTGTCGAATGTCGAAGTGAGTGAAAAAACACTTTTGTGCTATTCAAGCAAAACCATATTTGATAATTTATTTATACATTTGGGAACTTTGTATATCACGCTGGCTTATTTTAAAGTTGCAGGTACGGCATACCATTTTACCAAGTTAAATAATAAAATACCGTGGTCACAGATAGAAAGTTACTAACATGTAACTCAACAGTTACTGGGTTTGCAAACACGTGACAAAATTTTGTTTAAAATCCAATTGTTAGGAACAGGAAAATTGAACGTTGCCAAAATAACAGTTTTTGTGTCAGTGCCGATATTTAGAGTCCTTTTTGGTGAATATTTGGAGATGTTTGCTGTGTGAACCGCCTGGTCGCCCAGCATGATGAAGACAATAATACAAAACACTGAAGTGTCTCACAGAACTTCAGGGCTAATAAATGAGACATGGTACCGCACTATTCGTCACTGAATATGACTTGAAAAACCCATAAAATCTATATTCACAAACAAAATGTAATTGCATTTATTTGAACAAGCAATCAATCAATTTTGTAACGGCGAATTTGCGTGGCGCAGGACTGTACCAGTACATGGTTTAAATTCACAAAACTACGGCGACAAATAGTTCAAAAACTCTGCATTCAAAACGTCCTAAGCGTAACGAACTGTTAGTATGACCACAGAAGACCTTCTAATTTTCTTCCAACAGTTCTTTTATAAACAAGGGTGCATGCGAACCATATCCACTTCCTCCTCAAGGATCCAATTTTTCGTACTACTTTAATAAATTAAGGTCTCTTATCACATACAAATTCTTATCAACTATTTTCTTATCTAAACCCATTTGTTTTAGGCACAGACATCCTTTTTACACGAAAATATAACCTAAGGAATAGTTTCTGGAGATAAGAATAATTCTATACAAAAAGGACACCTGCCTGCATCTTTATCCTTTTACAATGTCTTATCAATTTAAATAAAAGCAATGATTTCGCATTTTTATCGAATAATTGCATGAACTCACTATAAATCAAAGACGAACCAACCAGACCGTCATTAGTTTTTCTCATAAATATAAACTAACCTTATGCATATCATGTTGCTTAATATAGGCTACATAAAATAAGCCTCATAGGTAAGATTCTTGTAATAAGCGTGCTGTATTAGATTCCCTGTCTGTGTACCGTGTGTCTTATTCTGATATAGACAGCAGTGTATCTTAGCTATTTTAAAGATAGATACGTGCCGTTTTCGCTACCCTGTGTCACTTTTTTGTGAAACTTTAATACCACAAACAGAATCAATTTATCTACGCTTGTTTCTGAGATGCAGGATGAATGAACAGTTTGAGTTTTGGGGACGTTATCATATCTGAATACCCATGTAAGGTAGGAAAAAGATAAACACTGCTTACTTTGGATATTTTTACATAGAATCCAGTGGTATAGTCAAAGAAATTTTTGAACCAGATTTGATTTTTGACCAAAATTTGGTATTTATTAAATGCACACTGTGTATATTTTAACGTCAATTGTTTTTCATTCGTTTTCATAATTACATTGATGTATCACAATCAATTTTTTAGCGCATTTTCCAACTCATGTTGGAAGGGAAACAGCGATTCGAGATTTACGAAACGTTAAACCGTGCGAAAAAATTCACAACGGAAGGTAAAAGGCGCCCGAAGTTGACTACCTCTCGAAGACGCGCGCGCGCGCCTTGCAAAAGGTCGTTACTGTCGCCCCTAGGACAAAAAACAAAATTCCGCCACGCAGGAGTTATGCGCTTTTACAAAATCTTTTCGACGACACCAATTTGAAAAGAATCGGACCAAAACTGTAGTAGAAGATAGAAAAAAACTGAAAAACCTTCACGTTAGTAAACTACGCTCGAGGATGACGCCCAGATGTCGCCAACCCCACATCATGTAGCACTGTCCCCAAGGGTGACAAATTACACGGCGTTGTAGATACATCTACACTCGTTGCCTTTCTACAAGAGTTCTTCTACGCGCCCACATTTGCTGCCAGCCAGCCAGCCAGCCAAAGTGAAATTAAAAGCTACTTTTTAGCGCATTTTTGCAAATTTATTTGTAAAAAGTAGCTTTTAATCTCACTTTGGCTGGATGACTGGCTGTCTGGTCGGCTGGCTAGTTGGCTGGCTGGCTGGCTGCATGGATGGCAGCAAATGTGGGCGCGTAGAAGAACTCTTGTAGAAAGGCAACGGGTGTACGTGTATCTATAAGGCCGTGTAATTTGTCAACCTTAGGGACAGGGCTACATGATTTGGGGTTGGCAACTTCTGGGCGTCATCCTCGAGCGTAGTATACTAACGTGAAGGTTTTTCAGTTTTTTCCTATCTTCTACTACAGTTTTGGTCCGATTCTTTTCAAATTGGTGTCGTCGGAAAGATGTTGTAAACGCGCACAACTCCTGCGTGGCGGAATTTTATTTTTTGTCCTAGGGGCGAAATTAACGACCTTTTGCAAGGCGCGCGCGCGTCTTCGAGAGGTAGTCTACTTCGGGCGCCTTTTACGTTCCGTTGCGAATTTTGTCACGCGGTTTAACGTTTCGTAAATCTCGAATCGCTGTCTCTCTTTCTCGTGTCGCCAATAGAAGCTCGAGCAATGAGAAGTGCCCCAAAAATTAAGTAAGTACTATCTTGTGGAAGGTTTTTAGCGAAATCCACCAGAATGTGGGTGTAATATAAGTATGCACCGAAAAAGGAAATGTCGTAGCCTCCGACAAGATCTAACTGATGGAGTCAAATCTTCAAACGCGAATTACGGGTGAGCGGGACGTCGGAAGTGGGTACCGTCAAAGGGAATGTGGTAGCCTTCGACAAGATCTTTTATTGATAACCATCAAAGTCAAAAGTGGCTAATAGAATACTGATCTGCCACACAAAAATGCGTTGAAGTCCCTTCGATCTCACACGAGGACTTTGATAATTTTTACAAATAAATTTGCAAAAATGCGCTAAAAACAGGCAAATCTTATTTAGCCATAAAATAGTGAAAAAAAGGTAGCCATAGTCGATTCCACGGTAACTTTGAGGACTTTACGCCCTCGATTCTTTTTACGAGTTTCGGGTTGTTATGCAACGAACCCCTCTAATGATGCGTTGTACACAGTTGCGATCAACCTGTGATTGACAACGACTTTAGCGAACAGCGATTAGCGAGCGCTCTCACAAGGTGTGTGAGGCGCTTTTAGCGACAGGCGTCCCCGAGATTGGGGAGCTGCGTAATTCCCTCCCATTTTGCGAATGGAAGGAGCTTCAACTTTGTGCATCCGCACGATTTTTTTTCCCGGGAAACATCGGACTACCCGCTGGTTTAGATATCAAGTTTTGTATATATGTAACACGTTATCGCAGACCAAATGTGAGAAGTAATTTGAAATCTAAGTAATAAATTAACATTTGTCTTTACAAAATGACTATAACTTTTTTTGTATTTTGTGGCAACGGTATCATTTATGAAACTAAGCAAGAATAATTATAGAAATGATTAACTTCTGCTTACAAAAAAATTAATTATCCATCGTACAAAGAGGTTAGTATTGTAGCGCATGCCAAGCTAGCGGGATACACGCTACAGTACATGGCGTAAACCGCTCTAGTCATATTTTATTTGTTACTACTTGATACTGATAAAAATGGTATGGTATGAATCATTGGTCTTTTATTTTCCATAACAACAAACAAATATTAAAAACTACGTTTAATGTTTATGATCCATGTTTTATATAAACATGAAACTGTTTTCTTTCCTATGAATCCATTATTGATTATAGGTACACCGTACACGCGTGTTGTATTGGTTGCCTATACGCAAGGCAAAGACGAAAATTAAAGTCAGGATGTAATAACTCGTTTTATTTGACCTATTCCATTAAATTTTGTAGTCAATGTCTATACAGGGCTTTGATTTCAAAACAAAACGATTATAATTTGTGAAACAACAATTGCAAAAACACACTCATTTATAGATAGCTAGGGGGAAGTTTAATGGAAGGTTTCCCAATTTTTAGCATTCACCCCCGCACCCCCAATTATCGGTTAAACAGACAAATATCGCCGATGGATATGTAAACTCTTAAACCGACGACGTTAGAACTTATGTCGCACGCCTGCTTATGTCATGTTTACGTATGTAAGTATACGTAAACCTCTCGCCAGGAAAGATTGCCGGTCACAGAAGGCCTGATCCCGGTCTACAACCTGTGTTTTTCTAAAGATGTGAGCGACTTCCGGAATAGGATCGTGTCAATGTTGAGCGAAAAGTCTTTTCGGTCAACATTGGCACGATCCTATTCCGGAAGTCGCTCGCATCTTTAAAAAAACATATATTGTAAATTGACACAAGGTGTGCTGTGACCGGCAATCTTTCCTGGCGAGAGTTATAGGTACCTAATATATTTATTTATGTATGTTATGGATGACTTGCCACAAACATATTTATAGGACATGTAACAACTAACAAGGTAGGTAAATAATAAATGAAATGAAATGAAAAGATACCATCGATTGAGCCACTGTGTAACATAGCGGAGCGAAAAGTGCAAATTTTCTTAGTGCAGCAGCATTTCCCTATTATCTATCTTCCACTTGACTCTCCAAAGATTACGTACTCAGAGGGTTTATCACTTCTTTCAAAATATCCTTCTAGGAATAACGGACTATCATAATCTGATTATGAGGCTACGCAGGACCAGAAAAAAATCAAAGAATGCCAACCTTTTGAAGATGGAGCGGGATTGATGTTTATACCTAGAAGAATAAATTTTATAACTTTTTATATATGTACATTATAAATGTTAGGGTCTTGCCTGTAAATCTGAATGCACGTCTTCTTTTCAAACAAAGATAGATTATTTTGAATTCAGAATAGGAAATGTACCTACTACTTCCATTAATAAAAATTGTAACCGAAAAGATGAATAATTGAATTTCAACAGGATTTCTTATAGTTTGTAGTAAATGCTTCAGTATCTAGTAGATAAAATTATATTTAGAAGCAATACCGCATGATTGATTTAATGAAAATATCAATTTCCCAGTAAAATTGTTTGATTAATCTTCCAAAATTAAAAGTAATAGCACCAACACAAACTGACAATATTATGTATAAACTGTTGTTGATCATGTGTGGCTTAGTTTGTAAATGGTAACGAATGACACTTATGGGATAGCTTTCTGAATATTATGACAAAACTTATGCAAATAAATGTAAGTAATTATAATGTATATTTGTGCTCAAGCAGCGTCTTGCTTATCTTCTTATAATAACATACGACTAAACTTCCTACAAACATCCTCGAGCAATAATTCAAAATTTCCAACTTTTCAACTATTAAACAGAGGGGTTAGAAATTTAAAGGCTTGAATGCGAACCAACTCGGTCCTCTATCTTGCACCATGTACGTGAATGAGACGTTTTCGTCATTTGAAATAGGTATTCTTTATTAAATGCTCTTGTCTTGAAACTAAAATCACGGTAGGTATGCTTTATCGTATAGTAATCGATGTTCCCATCAAGAGGTTAAGTTCAATATCAAATCAGATTTCAGAATTGTGCATTATCTAGCAAAAATCATCCAGATTCTTTATCTAGATTTACACTAACCCTAAGATATTCTTGCATATTCAAATTCTGAAAAAAAAATACATGTACGAGTACCGTGTCCTTTTATACCTAAGCTTGACTTAGGAAATTTCAAAGTTCAGTTTAATTTGAGATTCACAAGCTTCAACTCATGCACTTAACTACGCCGCAGCCAGTTGGTTTGTGCCTAAAAACGTGCTTTTTTCACAATCACCTGAAAATTGTTATTTCACAAATAACCACTTGACTCGCCTAAATTTACAAGAGCCTCAAAAGTTACTAGGTTCATAAACACACGTGATCAGATTACGAGCACCTTAAATGTAAACTTTCCTAAACATTACCTAAATTGAATCTACCCACAAATGTCACTTAATTTTTAAAGACGTATGATATTCACGGTATGCGGATTCCTTTGCGTTGAATTTAGACGACATCTTCTTAATTTTTGATTATATTACATTATTATCATATCTTCAGTTTCAAAACGATATAGGACCATAACTTGTATTGCTAGAACAATACTGATACAAAACTGGATACCGGTAATGTAAGGTATAAGGTGATAATCATAAACTGACCAATTTGTTTTTATTCTATTCTCACACTTTGTCTTTATTCGTTTCAGATACATTCACAGAGCACCAAAGTTACTTAAAATTCAACCGGAAGTATTTAGCGTCAACTTGCCACGGTTAAAAATTCTGTAAGTACCTACCTCATAAAACGTTTGTTTTTTTCTCGATTTGTTAACAAATTATCGTCTGTTTCGGTTTATAAACATATATACGCGCATTATGTAATGAAAATTTCGGAAATTGTCTTCCATCGTACTTACCCGTCTAGCAAATGAACGTAATAAAGCCAATAAAGGTACCCAGAGCCTTTAATCCACCAAGACCATTGCAGCGGCGCACTGGAGCATACGTCTTCCGCTTGATCACCGTATACAGACGACGACCTTACATAAGCTTATATCTCCATCGCTTTAGGGAATCAGATATAAAGTTTTCTGTTTTGGTGGGAGGTTGTAAATGACATATGAAAAAAGTAGTGTCCTTTGCTCAAATGCCCCAGAATCTCGTCCTTTAGATGCAGCTGCGTTTAAACTTTGAATAAAATTTATTCAATGGTTTAATTAATAATTCAACATTTACAATTATGATGACAACGAAAACAAGTACGTACGGTACAAACAGCCGTTGACTTTTGTCACACGTGAATGCGCGTAATGATATGCAATATTTAAACATTTAGTTTTTAGCAGTCGGGCAGTAGTTTATCTCACACGGAGGTACTCAAAATCTAGTGCTTCCAACTCCTGAAGGTGGAGTTTCGCTTCTTCTCCACATGGGGTTGCTTTCAAGCCACCTTTGAGGCAACTCTGGGTAAAGGTATCGCCACTTGATGCGGTTAGTTATGTTATGGCCATTCTGCCTCTGCAGAAGGTCTTAAGTTGTTCTATACTACTCCGGTATTTACCTTACGAATTAGGAAAACTGCAGGAAAACCTAATTCGGAGTAGCCGGCAGAATGCTCGAAACTGGTCTAAGGTAATTCCCATCTCTGCCACAGGTGAAAAATTCACATCAATCCAGGTTCGAACACCCGACCTCCGGTAATATAGCCCAACGCTCTACCATTGAACCATAAAGTCGGTATATTTATGGGTCAGTCTCGATCTCCTGACAAATTAAAATCCTGAACGAAGTAGCTTTGTTGTTCGTTACTTTAGGTAGACCACCACCACACGGCACAAATGTAAATGTGCTACCTTTAGTAAGTATAGGCTTTCATTTTGAGGCAAGGTAGGGGTGACAAAAGGAGTTATTTCCTAACGTTAGGTTGATCACCACCACCAGGTAGAGAATCAAGGGTAAAATAGTGGGACACCTTTAAAAAGCTTATCAGATATAGGTACGCCCACGCATTACGAAAGGAAAACTATTTATTTGAATTAGAAACAAATTCTGATTGAATTTCAACTTTTTTTTACAAAACTTGAAATACACAATTTGTGAAATTCCAAAGTCTTTCGTTTACGTCTTCACCAACTTCACTACTTCCGCATGCCTTAATTATAAATTCAGCTAATCCGGGATTTTCTTTCGCCATAAAAACTGTAAATTTGCCAAAATTGATTGATCCATCGTCGTTTAACAAATCCAATCCACGAAAGAGGCATGTCAGATAATTTTTGAATGGCTCGTCTACGCTCAAGACACCTGGGTTCAGTAGTCGATCTGCTTCCACAGGATCTACGCCAGTTAACGCTCTACATGCCTCTTCAACTTTAGGTATATACTTTAGGTAGCTATTTATGACTTCTTGTAGATACTATTGCTGTCAGGTTATATTAAAATAGTTGTCAAGTTTTTACTCACCTCACTCTGACTCGCTACCGAATGTAAGGCTAGCGCCAATACCACAACTGCTACCAACGACTTCATTTTTCAAGACCAAATTAGTTCTGTACTGCACTAGGCAAGATTCTCCATTTTATGCTGTGTTTATCAAATAATTAACCGCAATGAATCCATTCCCTAATTATTAACGTGTTATCAAAGCGAGCGTTTCCCGTGTACCTAATTTTATACTAAATTATATGATGCGGTTGAATTATCTGATAAATATTAGGGAAAGATATCCTCTTATTGGTACTTTAAGGAAACATATGCGGTTGTTCCTTTGTCCTATGAATAATTAGGAAAGTATAACAGAAAAAATAACAGAGCATGTTAAAGAATGATTACAAACAAAATGTAGGTATCCATTTTTAATGAAAATTAGTTGGTTTGTGTTTTTTGGGACCTTAGCGTTTGTTTCAAAACTCGTCGCGATCAGACCTTCGCCATTCTAAAACCGCATCATATTGTCACGAATTCTTCAATGGTTTAAAACATGCAACATCGCCTGGTTGTAAGATACGAGTAGTATTGCGGTGTAATGAAATTAGGATGATTTGACACTCTACACAGGATGCTATAATTTCATAAGTTAAGTGGGTCTTGTGTCCGCCTACGAAGAATATAATGGCAAATTTAATTTCCTTTTTAAAGCCGTAAAGGATAAAGATAAAGTAAACATAATTGTAATATTTTGTTTTGCAACACTCTGATCTACTTCGTAGAGGTTCTTTTTCCCTTTCCCTAGCTTAGGACAAAATTCAAAACTCGTCCCCTTTATATTGTATATATTTTCTATAGTCAGTTCATCTAAAATCTTAAACCAAAAGCTATAATCCTCTATTCTTACAACCATTTCTTTATATCCGATCAGAGGCTATAGAGAGTTGAATAGATATTCATATTTTACCCCTTGCTTTTGGAATGAATTATCCGGTTGGTTATTGTTTTTTCCTCGCATTTAGTTAAATAGGTTTCCGCGCCCTTTTCGACGTTTTTAAACTTATTACTCTGACGCGCCGACCCGTGGAATACTATTTCTGAAAGACAGTTTGCTTTGGAGCTCCATCTTTAATTTCCTCTGTCGGGTAATTCGCTTCGTTTTGTGGATTTAGATAATAAAAGTTTCCAAATTTGTTAACGGCAAACAAGAACAATGAAGAATGCCAAGGCCCAAGTTGCATTAGTGCCACTAATTAAAAATTTCTAAAACCGAAATCCAATGATTGGCACCCTACTTTTATAAAGATAGGTATATCAAATGACATGAGATAAACCTGAAATAACTGTGTTTCATCTATTAAAGTATTAGTGACAGATACCTTATTTTAATGGCTTCTGTGCGACTTCTCCCGCCTTTCCATCTGTCCAAATCTTCAGTCATTTGACTTGAACCTGCTATAAAATATCATTCGTCCATCTAAATTGCAGGTGTGCTTGACAAAGATACATAAATGTATTATGGGTTAAGTGGAAGAATACCGAGTGGCTATATGTTTCGTTCCACTGAACTTCGTCTTTGGGTGTTCCAGTTATATCCAAATAAGCACGTGTACAATAATTGTACATGTTAACCTTGTTGAGAGAATGACCAAAATCCGTGCCTTGACGTTTAAATTTGGAATGATGGCCATGTGTGTTTTAATTGGGAAGAGATTTATCACCAATCTTCGTTTCCATCACAGGCATCGCATTTTTCTGCATAGCACCACACTATGAGCTTTTTAACGTGCAGTGCTCGTTAAGGAAGCCATTGCGATAGATTACACGAACCGTTAGTTGCGGTTTATTTTATCCACTTTTTTACGCAGTCTTTAAGTTACCCAAAACTATACCTACCAATATAACGTTTACCTAAATTTAAACTACAAGGGTAGGTTAGTTTCTAGATCTAGATCTGATTTTATTCTTCTTGCAGATGCTGTAGAACGTTATTGAACGATCTAAATCGCATTGTACTGACTTGTATTTACCACATATGGTAAATATCCCAACGTGACTCATGCAGAGAATATTATAGAACGATTTATTCTTGTAAACGTGTCTGTTATATTACTATTATTCCCAAACATTGCCAAGAAACAATTTTTTCATTAGAAATGTAACTAATAGATATAGAAACATATTTTGTTGGAGGTTTAAAACACAACTCTCAGTTTGTACAGTTATGTTTATTTCAATAATAATATTCGATAAGACGCTGACAAACATTAAAAACAAACTCTTTTCTTACAACATTTCATTAAAAAATCTTGCTATGTACAGAGTGTAGCATATAAGATCTCTCGGATCATAATTCATTTAGTATAAAAGATACCGCAAAAAGTCTTAGAGCAAAATTCATAAATCCGATTCTTCTTTTCTTGATACATGTTTATATATTATTTTAGTTGTGTTTTTTTTAACGGAATGTGAATAAAGGCGTTACCACCGTAAGGTGCGCAATTACCGCCGACATCTTTTTAAAATATTTTTGAACACCAGGGGCGTGCTGTATTCCAGTGGGGTATCAAACTTGCGTTTTTTTATTAAATGGAACGCCCCATATTTTATTACTGAGTTGGGGAGTACTTCAAAACTACTTATTTTTTATGTAACATGTTATACCCCTTACTTTTAACGATTTCGCTTACCTTTTTTCGTCAAAATTTGACAATTTTTCGGATTTTTTTGAGGAACTAAATCGCGAAGGTGGCTAATTTTTGAATTGAGGCACAGGTTAAGATCTCGTCGATTGTCACATAATTTTTTTAGGCATTTTATCGAAAAAATTAAATTTTTGATTAACCTTCGCCAAATATCATATTTTTTAAAAAATTTCAAATAGCACCCCCCCTAAACAAATTATACCTATGGGTAGCCAAAACTATAAATTTTCTACTGATATAAACAAAACCACACATTCCATAAGAAAATTTTAGGAAAGCATCAAGTCGAAAAGCCAATTTGTAAAAAAAAGTTCTTTTCTGAACCCAAGTGCACCATGATGAAACAAAAGATCCCAGAAAAACCGAAATTTGCCGATATACAAAAAAATACCAAAAAAACATCTCATTGTCTTGTGAACTCTACAAGACACCGTTGAGAAATGTTCAATTCAACGTGCCATCTCATGTATTTGCAATTCTTTCGAGTAATAATTCTGGACACCTCATTTATGGGAAGTTTGTGTTCAAATTTAATATGATGGCCATGTGCGAAGAGACTTGAGTGCTTTTAATAATTTTAGTCTCAATTGGGAAAAGATTTATCACCAATTTTCCATCTGAGGCATCGCAGTTTTCTGCATAGCAGCAGCTTCCACCACACTATTAGCTTTTTTAACGTGTAGTGCTCGCGCGGTGCGGTAGATTACACGAATCTCGAGTTACGGTTTCCTTTATCCACTAATTAGTTTCATTTAGTTTTTACTCAGTCTTTAAATTATTCGAAACTTTGTTATCTAACAATATTCGCGATTCAGCTTAACAGTGAGACCTCTGATGGCAGCACATTGTAACTAAGATTGGTGGTATAAGACCGCCATTTTGTTTATGCAATGGCCAAAAGCATTATAAATTCAATGCCAACAGTAATCAATATTTAGTTTTTACAGCTGTAAAAGTAAATACACTTGCACGGATTTCATTGCAATCAATGTAATTACCTACACTTTAAAGAGCAAGTTTAGTTTAAAACATCACATTTTATCACGTTACTTGCAAGAATTTTAAATATGATCAATATGCAACAAACGATAAGGATAACTTAAGAAATCGTTGTCTAACGCATAATATTTCCAGTCTTTAATTGTGAACAGTGCAATTACACAATTATGCCACGAATAGTAAGGCTGTTTTAAAGCATAATCGCCGTAAGGGAATGTTGGCGAGTTGCTGTAAAATTGTATGCTAGAAACTGCGCTAGAAACTAAATGATAAATTTGTCATCTTTATTTGTAATTAGAAAATTAAGTTAATTGCGTGTTCAAGATAATTCAAGACCGGCTCGAGTTCTTAAGAAAAAGGCCTTTCAGGTAGGATAGGACTAAGGGGCTATATTTTCAAGTTCAAGTTAGTACAATTTCACATAAAAACCTGCAAGAATAACCCAATTTTTACAAACCACTACCACCTATACACGCCATTTGTAAATTACACCAGCGCCTCTAGTAATCTGAATTGCGAATACCGTTTAAGTTTAAGACATTATTGATCAATGTATTTCTTAGCTTCAAAATCAAGATAGCTACGATTCATCAAAGTGAGCCTTGCTTTGGGGAATTACAATTTACATCACATTGCTGTAAAGTAATTGGGGGAGAAGATTTATTTATTGTCTCTCTCTTGTTCAGGGCCCTCAACAGGCTTTCGCCCAATTACAGAGTGACCCGCATAATGCTTTTTAGAGGTGCCCCTGCAGAATGTCTTAAGTTGTTCTATATACTACTCCGGTATTTACCTTACGAATTAGAAAAACTGCAGGAAAATCTAATTCGGACTAGCAGAATACTTAAACATGGTCTAAGTAAATTCCCATCTCTGCCACAGATGAAAAATTCACCCCAGGCCAGGTTCGAACACTCGATCTCCGGGCTATGTAGCCCCACGCTCTACCACTGAGCCACACAGTCGAATGAACCAGATATTTCATTATAAAGAAATTACCATTGAAATATCTATGGTCGGCGTAAACTAATTCTACACCCTGTATACATACGAGTATTACCGACACATCCCAATTTTCTAAAAATAAACATAATTCAAGTACATTTGCACTAGATATGTTCAAATTTAAAAAAGAAATCTTCTATATCATTTGCCCGGGTCCCCCGATAATAAGGCCACCCGCCATCCACCGTTAATGAGAGTCTGAAAACAAGTCGGATCGCCGCCACTGGTAAAAATAATCCCGTCGACTTCAACTATACGCTCTTCTTCGTGACGTCAATGACATTCAATGGCCAAACTTTAGAAAAATATTTGCTTAGAGGATCAGAACACAGTACCTCTCCTACACATCCAATTACAGTATGCAATTTTTAGCGCATTTCCACAAACATAAAAAAATGCGCTATTGTGGCCACTTTGTTCGTCCGTCTGTCCGTCCGGTCGCTACTAGTTTTTTGTCTTAAGAGCTATTGTTCTACTTTTTCGGCTATTTGGTTCGTTATGGTGTCGAGGCTTGTAAGAAGAAAGGAATTTTTTCTGTGCCGCTGAAGAAAAAAGTTATAGTAAAAAATCTGTTTTTTTTCATGTACCATAATTTTACACTTGAGATCGTTTATTATATTGTATCGCCGTCTGCTCGTCTGTCTACCTGTCTCCGTCTGTCTGTCCGGGTGCAGTTCCGCAATCCAATTTTCTTATTTGTTAAGACATTTCAATGAAAATTTGTATGTGGGCACCTCGAAGAAAAGTAAAATTAATGCCGAATCAAAAAATTGTTTTGCGCATGCGTGATCCGATTTCTTTATTTGTGAAAATTTTTAAAAGAAATTTTGTATGTAAGCGGCTAATGCCAAATCAAAAAATTTCTTTTGCGTATGCGTAATCCATTCCAACTAAAAATACAATTATTGCGCATGCCCAGACCCACATTCGTTATTTGTATACTAATTCTTCTAAAATTGTAGAGTGGGATTCTTCATATAAACTTAAAAAGTAGCACGTCAAAAATGCAATGTTCATATGCAACGCTATTTTTCTCCTGAAATCCGATCTTGCCAAATAGTAAAGGATGGAAAAGGGAGACCGAAAAGCAAACAAAAGAAATCAAAGAACGAAGATCGAGAACTTAATACATACTTAGGGGCGCCTACAAAGGGTTAACACTGAATAGCAGAGATTAGGCCAAAGTCTAAGTGCAGTATTATGTATTATGGATCAGACAGTTTTCTGCATATTTCATCTCTACAGCAGACGACTGGATACTTCGCTTAGTGTCCAAATATTCGATATTGTTTTGCTTTCCCTTGGGGCTGCGAGTATCCCTCCTTGTTTAGGGGTAGAATTTTGTGGTTCGATAGGTATCTCCTCGCAAGCCACTATGACAGTTTAGCTGTCTAGGACGATAGTCTTTCAGCCTGATTCAATTCCGAGTACGTCTACCCCTCGATAGTTAGCCTGGTACCAACACTATCGATGATCCGTGTCCCACGAGACAGTCGATGAATGCCAAGTCTCAGTTAAATCATTGATGAAGTATAGCTTGTTGTCGGTTGTTTTAGGTAGACCACCGGGACCACCGCCCATTATCCACACGGCATGGCACAAACATGAATGTGGTACCTCTAGTTATTGAATAAAAATTTTTTTATTCAATGCTCTAGTGTAGATTTCACTTGGCTAACATACGTCGTAGGGTTGACAAAAGAAATTAAATCCCAAGCAACTTCCTATAAGTTTGGATTGATCACCACCACCACCAGTAGAGAATCAAGAGTAACAGAGTGGAACGCCTCTAAAAAGTTTATTATAAGATATGCGTCCACGTATTACGAAAGGGGAACTATTTATTTCATTTCAATTAGATACATATTCTGGTTAAATTTCGATTTTTTTTACAAAGCATTAAATACGCAATTTGTGAAATTCCAAATTCTGTCATTTACGTTTTCACCAACTGCACTACTTTCGCATGCCTCAATTAAATATTCAGCTAATCCGGGATTTTCTTTCTCTACAAAAGTGGCATATTTTTCAAAACTAATTGATCCATCGTCATTTAAAAAACCCAATCCATGAAAGAAGCATGTCAGATAATTTTTGAATGGCTCGTCTGTGCTCAAAACACCTGGGTTCAGTAATCGATCTGCTTCTACGGGATCTACGCCGGTTTGCGCTTTACATGCCTCTTCAACTTCAGGTAGATACTTTAGGTAGCTATCTATGACCTCTTGGAGAGTCTAATTCATTGATGTGGGGTTATATTAAAATAATTGTCAAGTGTTTACTCACCCCACTCTGACTCGCTGCGGAACGAAAGGCTAACGCCAATGCCACAAGTACTAGCAACTTCATTTTTCTACGCTAATTAGTTCTGTACTAGTCAAGGTTCTCTATTTTATACATACCGTGTTTATCAAATAATTAACCCCAATGAATTTATTTGTTACCTACGTATCAACTCGTTAACAAAACGAACGTTTCCGTTTACTTAAATTTTAAACCGAATTATTAAATGATGCGGTTTATTGTATCTGATAAATAGGCACTTATCGTTTAGCAAATTACGTAAATTTCCTAAGATTTTTTATTCAAAGTGAATGGCACGTTCTTACCAAGCATGTATTAACTACCCCAATACAGGCAACAGATGAATGCATCGTTCTCTGTGTTTGTAAATATTCCTTAAACTTTTGTATTTGCGCAATCCAATTCTTTTATTTATTAAGAGATTTAATTGAAATGTTGTCTGTAAGCACCTCGATAAAAGTAAAACTAATGCCGATTCAAAACTCTATATATCTGCACAAGAGTTGTGCACAAAAGCTTCGATAACAGCAAAACTAATTGTTTTGCAACAAATACGCTCAAACACAGCGGCGTTTTAATGTCCAAGAAACTCGATTCACGTCTTCCACCAAAAAGAGCCACCCCCAAACAAACGTTTAACCAACAAAAGGCGTCGTTTAATGTCCGGTTCGATAAGAAAACTTCTTATCTACGTCCGGAGAAAAACATGAGATGAACTTTCGCAAATACTACGCAAATAATTTCCGGATGTTTAAATCTTGTCTTTTAACACGTGGTTTAAATTTACAGTTATATTTGTGGAATTATCTCTTTATCAATGCTTCCATTTCAGCATCACCTCTAACTCTCTAAATATCTTGTGCCACTCACCCCCACGACTAAAACAATCATCGCCCTACACTTGCAGGGGCATTTCATAATATTCCGTGGTTGTTTCTTTCATGAAAATGTTTATTTATTTATTGTTCCTCTCTTGTTCTGGGCCCTCAACAGACTTTCGCCCAATTACAGACTGATCTGCATAATGCTTTTTAGAAGTTCCCCTGCAGAAGGTCTTAAATTGTTCTTTACTACTCCGGTATTAACCTTACGAATTAGGAAAACTGCAGGAAAACCTAATTCGGAGTAGCCGGTGGAATGCTCGAAAGGAAGTACCCATCTCTGCCACAGATGAAAAATTCTTACCTCAGCCCAGGTTCGAACACCCGACCTTTCACTCTTGACGTATGACACCGCGGAATTTTTTGTAGAAAGTAAAGTCCTCTAGAATTTATCTTCTATAAATTTTTATAAATCTATCTCGGTCTGTTCTGCGTTTTCAGATAAATGTACCGATAGTGGAACTCTACTAATGGAAGTATGATCCCATCTCTCATACAATCGGCCATAAATTTGTGCATGACGCCAAACTACTTGACTTCGATCCTTCACAGACTTGCTTCCGAAGATGTTGAGAATAGAAATGATTATCATCCGCCAAGTTGTATATCACCCTTCTACTTCTTCTTCTAGAGTCTAGAGTCTTCGGTAGTTACCATCTTGCTAGATCGTGGCGTCGTAGCCGTAGGGGTACATACAGGATCAAAATGTTGAAGGTTTGTTTGAATGACCTCACCCTACGTATCTTAGACGGTCTGTATGCACCGTGACTAAGGGGAAACCGGTTGTTTCTGACCATGTGGGACGCGGTCTGAATAAGCTTGAAACCTGATTTCCCCTATTTTGCCGCACTTACCACTTAGGGACCGTTCCGGAATACCATTTTCTCATCTTAAACTATACTTCCCTCCTACATTTGGTCTACACGTCATCATCTCCGCGTATGGGTCCGGGGTAGTACTGCTGATGAAACCAAAAACTTCTCCCTTTTAATCTCGAGCCAGCCCGCTCCTTCGTCGTTTCCATCCTAGAATTCGCTTGACTCTGGGTACATCGTCGCCCAATATCATACAGAAGACACTAGCTACTGTTCAATCTCGGTATGATATCGAGAAGATTTGGGGTAGAATGTACGGCCACAGACCGTCATTTCTGCCAAATTGAAGACTGTAAACCTTACACCCCAAATGGGTAAAAGCATTCGATACTAATTTATGACTAATCAGAATCAGAATATACAATTAATTTCCTTATGTAAACAGTTGTGATTTTCTTCTACTTTTATTTAATAAACATTTCATAATCTACTCAACTAATATCCGTCATATTACAATGTGCCAATGATGCGTATTTTCACTGAAATCGCACCGTATTCAGTATTGTTATTGTACTTAATCTATGCAATAATTGTTATCCTAACTGATTACGTAATTAATCTGTTGAATCTAGATTATTCCGAGCCTTTGCTACAGTGTCTGTCCCAACTTCCATTTACATTTTTGCGATCTTACATCTATAACAGCCATCTTTCATAAGAAGCAATCCTCCTTGTTTAAGAACTTTAGGTGGTTTTTCTAGGGCTCATTTCTGAAGTCGTAGATGAGGAGGTACCATTAATAAAATTAGAATTGGAAATTAGAGTTGTAATGGAATAAAACATGAAGGTCCAGTCGGCGTAGAAAATCTCCTACTTACTTTTCATGAAAACGTTTAGCACTGTACAGCGCAATATAAATCATCTTTCAAGTTAACGAAATCGTGAAATTTTACGGTCAGGAAATTAGAGGGTGTTTTAAATAAATTCTGCAGAATGTAATTTATCACCCCCGAAATGCATAAATTAAAAGTCATTCGTCATACAAACGGCGTGCGAATGATTACAGTATGTAAAATACTTTGGGTTAATAATTAATGTGAAATTTCGTTTCGCTTCTTGCAGTAGTCGAATTATAAAGTAAAATAAGGGGTCTATAAACTACCATAATTATATTAATGGACAAAATTTAGAGCAACCTAATTAGGTAATTAACGAACATGGAATCCGTCTCAAAGTATGATTCAATGAAATACCATATAAATAAAACAGCCCAGGAAATTATTCTATTTCTAAAATATAGCCATAGCACGTACTTGTGATGAATTGTGACTGCATACTTTACCAAAAGTTAGAAGTTTACTTAAAGTCTTTGGAAAAACCTAGCTTGACTCTGTCAGGACGCCACTTGTTCTAGTAACAATTTGGTTTCAGAATTTTGTGCGCATTGCTGTGGTAAATGAACAAAGAAGGACACTGTATTCAGTACAGTATTGCGTTTCTTTTTCAAGATTTCTTATCCAGCTTTATACTGACCCTACACATAAATGTGTTTCCAGTACTGTAGTGGGACAGGATTAAATACACTGATTATTACACTACTCACCTTTTCCCAGAGTGCTTGACTCGCACCTCGATGAATGTCACTGAATCACTCTAAATTGCATATTTCTACTCAGCAGATTACTCTACCAAGTATTTTTTTGACTGTCCCTCCCGAGCGCTTTCTTTACAAGTTAAACGAATATCCACCCCTTACAATCACATAAAGCAATTAAGATGCCGTTTGTATGAGGAAAGAACTGGTTTACATTTAAAATGCGGGATCGACTGTAAGCATATTACTAATACACAGTGGATCTAACAAGTTTCGACCAGGAAATTGATCGTGTCGATTTTTAAATCTAAACTTATGCTTACTTATTAATCCTGGATCATTTCTGTGCCAGATAATCAGGCGAGGTAACAAAAACTGACTGTAGATATGCCATCATATATTTCGTTTGAACAGCTTGGACACGACGTCCACTTACTATAATATTTTCGGTTTTTATTTTATTCTTCATCAATCTTGCGTTTTTTTAGTATACTCACCTCAACAATTCCTTACATCAGAAATTATATTTTTGAATAACATTATTACTTATTTTCAGACGTATCGTTCATACGGGGTTGGAGGAAATACCCAATTTAAATAACCTTTACACGGACTCCGTTCTACATATGGTGTAAGTATAGTAGCGACTTTTTTTCTCTTGAAAACTTGAATGTGTAATAGCTCTAGGATTAATTTTTCAACATGTCAATTGTCTACTATTATAAAATACAAAATTCTGGGAAACATTTTAAAAGCTAACAATTTGGACACCAGTCGTAATTGCTGATAACGAATTGAGCAATGACGTATCTACCATTCGCCATAAATTTTCATTTTTTCCAAAATAGTTATAATTCTTTGAATGCAAAGTTTCCAAACATTTTCAAATGTCCTGATCCTGAAAGCTCTTCAACTACTTACCCATATTTTTCACATACGAAAATACGAAACAAAACAACATAACTGCGATTACTGCTTTATTGTTCGGTGTGAAGTGATCCCCTATAAATAGTCGCTCGTATTCCATTCATGGCTTCATATCCTCATCCATTATTGATTATGCAGGTGATGGAATAGGATTTAGTTAATCTGAAAACATACACACGAAAATAACCAAACACAAAAGTAGTGAAATATTTAATATTTAGGAGTATCTATGGAAGTTACTTTACAAAAACAAATCCTAAACATCTTTCACAGAAAATTCCTTTTGTTTCAGTGACTTGGAGCATAATAACATCCAACGCATATTGACTAAACAAGTAAACAGGGTTAAAGCTGAACAATTGTAAGTACACAATTTACGTCATGATAGATTTACAACTTATAAACTTAAAGTTGGATCACATCTTGTTGAATTGAAACGAGAGCCTTTATACAATGCGCCATGATTGATGTATTTTCTAGCGTAAGAGCTTGCTTTAGTGAAGGAGAGTTTTCTATAAGCCTTCCTAGTGTTTCTACATCACGATACAAACTGCTTGTTTTACTTAAACAAAAAATAAACAAAACGTGATTTTTCTCGATTTAATATGAGATGCATTTTATGAACACTACACGCTCCTTTACATATGAGTGCAAGCGAAGCTACGAGGCTTCCCGTATAAGTACCTACCGCACAACATTTTCGTACCAAATTTATTCATGTTGAGAGTAATAATGAATAAGTACCTATACTGTAATTAATGATGCAGGTATTTCTTTTCAGATCCCTGAACTACAATGACTTACAAGTTATAGAAGAAGACGCATTTCATGGATCACAAATTGCTAAGTTGTAAGTAATGGACTACTGTAATTTGCTATAGAATTACGAGGAGTGTTTTTAAAGGAGCTTGAAAGGAAACGTCAACCTCCAACACCTTCACCGGAGAGCATTTGCTGGATTGCAAAGTCTAAGATATATGTAAGTTCACTACTAGAAGTACTAAGTTAATGTGGGTTATCATCTGGGATTTCTATACTGCTTTCTCAAATTTTGCCTGCTATCTTCCTAATAAAAATTTACACCAAAAATCCAAATTAAAGCTCCAGTGAAAACAACGCACACTGGTGATAATTACCTTAAAATTGACGCCAAAACATGCAAAAAGATCCCTTCTTAACAACGGTCTTATCTTTTAATAGAATTCTAAAATTTGTGAAAGGATCTGGTGGTTTTCCTAGTCGACGCGACGAACTCGTCCCCTGTTATAATAAAAATCTGGGACCAGTCTTAAAACTCATGCTATTTAAGCGCGCTTCCAACAATACCAAACACAACCCACTTTGACAACGTCTGCTGCAGCATAATTAATTAACTACTTAATTGACCGGGTTGAAATTCGAAAATTCAGTTATACTCCTTTTTACTTGGAATGTTTTTGGTCAGGTCTGTGTTATCTATGTACGAACGAGCGATCTTGCCGGTGTTATACTCGTTTCGAATTACCATTAGGAAACTAAAATCGGCCAATAGTTACGTAACGGATATATCGGTAGGCAAAGCTTAAAATCTATAATTCGTTCTGGGCATATGATCTTCACCTCGTTGCATTTCTGTAATTGGGCGCAAGCCTGTCGAGGGCCCAGAACAAGAGAGGGATAATAAATAAATAAATTTCCCAATGGGGTTGAGCGTACCTCAATTTCTATCTTAACTCTCCCCGTAGCAGGGTAGTAATAACAGTAAAAATCAATTTAGGTATCAAAAGAAACGCTGGTGTATTCCAAATATCAAATGAAAGGACCTCCAAAATTGAATCACATTAATTACACAAAATATTCTCATACGAATTTCCACAAGTGCACGTTAAACTTCCCACAAAAGTCCCAATTAATTTCCCCAAAAGAATAAGTCCGCAAGAATAAATCCGCAGAGCTCGGTATATATAATTAGTTGATTAATGCCGGGAGGGCCTCGCTCTACTCGTAATCTGCTTCTGCGTCTCCAACGACATTCGCATTTCAAACTCGATCATTTAACCGAGATGGCAAAGATACTGTGTATGTACCAGGGACCCGGACCGAACCGAAAAATATCCGAAAACCAGGCCGAAACCGGAATTTTTTTCAGGACCCAAAACCGAACCGAAACCGTTGTTCCTTCAGAAATGGAAACTTATTGAGAACCAGAACCCCATATTATTTTTTTCGGTTTTTTACGGTTCTTAACAGGATATTGGAAGTTGAAGGACCCGCAGGCAAACACGTCCTGAAAATTGATATATTACTGATTGCCATCGGTGGATTATAAATTTTTGATAAAGGCGAATTCATACTATAGCTCAGGTGACGTTCTGCTCACGTTCAAAATATTGTAACATTCTATTTCAATAGGAATATTCGCATTTGACGGTCAGGGCACGGTCAAAACATGTTCATAGAAATACACGCTATATATACTTGACCGGACCGTGAGCGGACCATAATCTGACCGATAATGTGAATTGGCCTTAAGGTGTTGAAATTGAGGGCAGTATGGGTGGCGGTGGCGATAATTTAGCCACTCCTGTAAAATGTAAATAATAAAAGAAGTGGCAATTAGAATTCCATGCGTTCAACCTTACGGTTTCAGTGGTGTTTTAAATCAACGTGTACTTCTATGCGAGTTACCAAGGAAAAGACGTGACAATCGACAACCAAAAATCAAGGCACTGACAATCTGTGCGGCAAAATTATGTTGTTAAATTCTATCAATAGATGGAGCCGTCTATCAAATCGCTTCAAGTCACGGGGGGTTTTCGACAAGTAATAACCGCAAACAATGACAATGCTTCATAATGGAGAAAATAAATCGGTACACGGAGCTGAAATCCTACAGTATTATTTTTCCTCATCTTCCCACCGAATAGTGCTTTCGGATGCTGCAAATATAATTTAAAGATCTCGACAGAAACGTTTACAAACTGATAAATTGTTTTCTTATCATCGACGGTTGCAATACGATACAATATATTAACGAAACTAATTCCGCACCCTATTATCACCTCCTGCAGTATAAATAATTATATCTAGACGTTGCGGTTTTTAGCGTTTGCGGTTAGCGAAGCGTCATCGACGCCATCTCTGTACGTAACATCGTAATTTGAACACCTGCGTTTAGCAATAACGATCTCCAAACGCTAGGCGACGGCTGACGCACTGGAATTCTCGATCTCCGACAATAGTTATCTCTGGTCGGTGTGTTAAGGGCGTGATCGTAAGCTAATTAGTTTCAAGGTAAGCACGTGTTATCGCCAAAGTAAGCGAATTTGTCGCAAATAGGAGAGGAGGACGTTAATCGAGCCCTTTTGGTCAAGTTTATTGTTTCAGCATTATTTGTTGCAAGTCAGTTTTGGCACTTTCTGTAAGATAGATAGTTCTGTCAGTTATAAAGTTTTGTAGAAGAAAGTCTAGTCGAGTTAAACGGAGGCGTGTCACGTTTACGAAGGAGTTTCCCAATACCCGTTAAAGAGAGTTTTGTTTGCCATCAATGAGGCATTACTATAATTGTAATTACATCGAGGTCAGTGTGCTGATCGAGATTCGAGTGCTATAATTGATGTGGAGAAGTGAAGTTCCGAAGCAATATCACCTGATGTTTTGTGTTTGTGCGTCATTTATTTTAGAGTGCATTTACGACCGAAGATTTTAGATTATTGACACTTGAAGGCAATTAAGATTTCTTTAATTAATTGCTCCATCGATCGCTTGTTGCGTGGTACGTGATATTCTGGTCCTGAGCGCATGTTTTTCTTGATTAATCGAGCCAAAATTACGGCTTAGAGTTCTCAAGTTACATTTTTCTATTTGGTACCCAGAATTACATACTTTCTTTTAAAGGTAGCTAGCTAGCTGGACAGTTGCTTGTGGGTGGGTTAGTGGCTGTTTGCTAGCATTTTTATGGCGGGGGATTAATACTTATACTATTTTTAACTTTCCGCTTCCTTCCGTTTTTTTTTGTAATTGCTTTTACATTTCATAACTGTTTTGTTGTCGCTCCAGCTCTATTCCACTGTTTGCTGTACTTTAATTTGGTGATACTATTGTCGTAAATTTCTTGAATATTGATCACTACATTTTCTACTGCACTATCAATTTTTTCTCGTGTTGAGATTCTCCGAATGATTTTTAAAGCAGGTATTTTTTCTGCTAAAATTTCCAATTTTTTCCAATTGGCATTTTTTTTATAGAATATCCATCATTTTATTTATTGTTTGCGTGCAATTTGTGATATTTAGTTCGAATGTTATAGCATTGTGACCTCTTTTAATGTTTTAGTCTTCTACTCTCCATTTTGACCATTTCCAATGTAAGTGTGTGCGTTTGCTGGTTTTTTATAGAACGGAACACTGCCACCTCATTTTATAAAGGTTCCGAATACCTCTACTCGTATACGTACTCTTTGTATTCTACTATAAGGGATATTAAACCAGGCGACTTTGCATCCTATGGCGAATATAAATTGAGTATCTATTGTAGGTAGGTATATCAAATCCAGAATGTATGTTACTGACTTTAAACCGGTAAGCTTCTATCAAAGCTTATACGTCTGTGATATAATATACCAAAATCTACGTAGCGACATAGAAATTAATTTGCTATTGTTTGTTATTACAGATTAGATATTAAGATCTTTGATTTAAAACAAACACGATGGATCTCAAATCATAAACTGAGAGCACGTAATAAACTGAAGAGCTTAATTATGAAAGGAATATATGCCATCATTTGCAAATATTCTCCGCAATAAAACTCCAAATCTATTGAAAGAGAACACAACTTTAATTTCTTTGAATTTGTGTTAACCTTTTTCTAGCATTTACAATAAATTATGAATGTCCCATTTTAAAATTTGGTCGTTTTCTGTGGCTACAACTTGTAGGTATGAGTAGCGTACTATAAGACGACCGTCACCAGATTGATTATTACTTTTAAATGACAATTTGATTTAATTCATTGGAGGGTGGTGTGTTTCAATAGAAAATTGGGCACCTAAAGTGCTAAAACGCGAATTTATAGCATAGCTCAGCATATAAAAACAAAACAAAAGATTAAAGAGCCCGCGAAATAGCAACCTAAATTCAATTGGTGATTTGATTTCTCGGTGGTTTTCTTATAAGGTGACCAACAAACCACAAATAAATTGTGAATTTGTAGAGTTGAAAAGCTGAACTGAACGTGTCTCGCGTCGTAAATGTGCTTGAATTACGCCATGCTCTGCTTCCAAATGCTCAGAACGTTGACTGATATCTTTATTTATGAATTGACTGATACGAGAACCGAGAATCTTTCATAAAATGTATGGAACTGCTTTGGAATGGAAGAGTTAAAGAAAAGAACTGTTCGAAATCGATCATGAGCGGACGTAGGTACATTACATACCTACATATATCTCTACTTATAAGTATCCAATTATCCATAATGTCAAGATTTGCTCGAGGTTATGAGTCTTGGAACTGCGGTCGACGATTTGAGACCTTTTTACACTGATTTGCTTACAATAATATGAAAAATGGTGTACAATAGTATATTAAAAGACAACTGTATAATCAAGTCTTTAAGGCACGCGAAACGAGTTGAAATTCTTCAAAATCCTTCACTTTCTTCAAACTCTTCTATTATTTCGGATACAATTGGATTTTCGTATTCTTCGCTACCGTCGGATGCTTCGAAATTGAAATTATTTCTTTGACATTTTCAGATTCCTTCGGTTCTTTTACATTCGTTCGATTTTACAGTTTAATCTTTAAAATCCTTTGGATTCTGGGATTTCTTTGATCCATCAAATGTGTCGTCAGATTCCTATGAACCTCCTTTCTTTCTTCGAATTCGTCTCACTTTCCAAATACTTCGTTCATGATTCTGCAGGTTCTTCCTATTGCTTTGAATTATTCTGGTCCTTCAAATTGTTCAAATCCATTAGGTTCTTCCGATCCTTAAGAT